ACTTGAAAAAATATTGTAAACTCTTCAGGATACATTTATGTTTGTTCATTTGTTTTTATATTAGGATCAGCAGCTGTATGGAGGGCCAACTCTGATATACAGTAATAAAAAATAAAAGTAGAAATGCATAAATGATTCAGGTAAAAACAAAGCATTACATTACAGATACCAGATATTTACAGAGAAATGTGTATTTTATTTATTAAAACATTAAAAGTCTTAATTACTATTATACATTTTTATTCATCTATTTAAAATACTTAAGTAAAACATGTTTTCTCTTTCACTGATCATGTTTCCTCTTTTATGTCCTCTTTTATTTTTTGACTTTCTTGATGTTTTGTTTTTACTTTTGTCTGCCTCCTGTGCCAATATTTCTTATACATTTCTTCCTTTATTATGCAAATAATGTGTGTCAGCCTTTGCAGACTCAGCCCCGAATACTTGCGGTCAGTCAGGGAAAACTACAAGGTCCATCAAACTGTTTCATTTTCCATGGTCATTTAAATGCTTAGTAGACCATATTTTTAAAGAACAAAAAAGAAATATTTCCATACAGATGCAATGAAAAAAAATACGTTTAGTTTATAGGATGAAAAAGAATCCCCTTTGGTGCTAAGAATACCTGCTGTACTAATCATATCAATCATGTCAACATCAATTTTCAATAGGGATGCACGATATTGGGATTTTGGCCGATATCCGATATGCCGATAATTTAAAACTCATGTAGCCGATAACCGATATCGATACCGATGTTAAAGCTGGACAAAAATAAGTAGTCATTGAAAATAGCAGTTGTGTTATCCATTTCTGACACTTTGAAAAATAATATACTCAAATATATTTTCATATGCTGATATCAAAATAGATTTTTAAAAACGCGGTATCGATCTATTTTACTTTCAAAATCTCGTGAAATTTCATCGTTCTGTTACAAACTCTCATGATATTTTGCAAATTCTTGTGAGATTTTGTTAGTAAAATAGATCGATACCGCGTCAATATATCAACATATAAAAATATGGCAACATTTTTTGAATTTCCGGGGGATTTCGTAGCATAACGATGACATATAGCAATATTTCATTAGTAAAAGAGATTGATATGGTGTTTTTGAATGGCAATATATCAGCATATGAAGATATTGTGATATTTTAATGTATCAATATTTTTTCCCTCGTTGTTAGAAGTTTTTAAGTCTGTAAAAAAGAAGTTTTAGAGGAAGAAGAAGAAGTAGTATTTTATATATTTTTTTAGACTTTAGAAACTCAGAAGCTGATCAAATATCGGGTTAAATATCGGTGGGGTGGCCGATGTCCGATATTCAGTTTTAAGGCCGATACAGATAGGGGCCGATTATATCGTGCATCCCTAATTTTCAACATCTGTACCCTCCCTTTATGATCAACCCAGAGTAATATATGCTGTACCATAGTAAGTACAAAGCCATTTATCTGCTGTGTTGTTACTGACGGTACTGTATTTTTTCAATATGGAACCATTTTATTTCTGGACCATTATTACCTATTCAATTCTTGGTTAACATTTTGAATTCAAAAGTCAAAAGATAAATTTCCATCAACTAAATTTCAGGAGAACGTGTCTTATGGCAAAACGCACTACTTGCGTCCCATACTACAAGCTTTGATTAGTATAAACACGCAGGGTAGTGAATGTTAATGTTCAAAGAATTTTCCTTTATCTTTTTTCTGTACTCCTTAGCTTCTACAGTGGCGAAGTAAGCTGTTTAGTAAAACGTTTTAATGATTTTGTCCGCCCCACTTGCTAAATATGCACTGCATGTTTCAGGACAAACCCATATACAGTAGGGTGAACCTGGCTGCTTTATCTAGGGATTCGGACCTTTTACCTTTTATTTTTGACAAAAAGATGAGTTTGATTTTGTCACAGTGTCTCTCTTCCAGTCTCTCTCATGACATTCCCGCCAAATTGCTGCTTAGCTCTGATGAAAATAGACCATTGATTTACTTCTCTCAGATCTACAAAAGCACAGTTTTAGAAAACTGTGTGTAGGCCGTTTACTATGTCTTCTTCCCCCTTTCTCAGCCCTATTTCCTATCAGCCTATTTTCAAATATAGGTTACTAGTGCATCTTTGAAGATAAACAAATCCACACATATTTGTATCAAGGATCCTTATGGTAAATATAAAATGACCAAGTCATATTATTCATAGTGTTTACTGGACAGGTCAATCGGGTAACGTTTTTGGTAATTAATCCCCCAAAAATTAAACTTTTTTTTTTCTGTTGATAGTATACTAGATTGTTTGACTTGACATTGTGGCAATTCCAGATCCCTTTTGAAAAGGAGATATCAGATCTTATTGAGGTTTTATCTGGTTAGATAAAGACTGGATTTTGTCCTGGAAACTTGAACTAAAAGTAAATAACCATGAATTCCTCCCAGTGTAACCAAAAGCTTTTAAAATGTCTCTTATAGGATATTACCCTCACATTATGGAGACTTATTTATTATCAGTAAACAACTGAGCGCATGACCAAATGTTCTAGCAAAGGTTACAACACTACCAGTAAGATCAAATTTCTTTCTTGCATCCAGCTGTAAATGTTACTGCGCAGCAAAAAGCAGTTATAGCTGTAGTCCTACTAGCTCCTGGCGTCACTATTAAGTGGCTAAATTCTTGTTATCTTGCTCTTTAACTGACTTTTTCTGTGTCATTAAATCAATGGTAAATCTGTGCTTATCATCAAAGAGTCATGTAAAGGTTGGCCCTGGTAATAGGCAAGCTGTCATGGAAACCTCACCACTCTGGATGATTATCACAGACAGATATAGTCCTGTCTGAAACGCTCTCATGTTACCAATAGATCTCTGTTTCAGATTCCAAAAGCTGGGGCAGCTGAAGTGCTGGCCTTAAGTCAGTTCATGTGAAATACACTTTCCATTCATGATTTATTACACATACAGTAAGTAACTCATGATCGACTTTGTTCTTTTAAAATCACAAATAAAAACTTTAAATAAAATAGGGGGGACTTAATTTTTTTGTACATAGTAGGGGGCTTGAGAGAAGGATTTCAGTCATACTGGTTTCACTTCATGTAGACAGGTGGAGAGAAAACAGCATCGGTCGGAAAAGTAAAACAATAAAAGAAAGTCAATCCTACTGAATCCAAGGGTAAGACCAAGCAGAGAGCATCTCAGATTTGCCCAATAAGGTATGGAATGCAAAGACACCTCGGCCGTGTGATTCGAAAAAAGCAAAGTGACTTAGAGGGAGTGGGAGGTTGGTTCTGCTCTGTCTGCCAACAAGATAATAACGAGCTCCTCTGGCAAGATATTTCTTAGAACATGTTTTACATCTAAGGCTGCAGAGATGTTGCATCAGGAACACATCAAAAATGTAGCTTGAATTTAGGATGAAACAGAAAGTGAGAGCAATAATGGTTCTGAAATCCTATTTTAGTAGAAACAGTGTGTGTAGGCATGTGGGGTGGGGTGGGGTGATGCTTGTAAGAGAGAGAAAGAAAAATACCAAATATCATGAGAAAATTCCAACTGGAAATATTATTCTTATAATATTTTCAATAATTTATGCAAGGCAACAATAAAGCCTTGAATCACTGTATATGCACAAAGAATACTTTAAAAGGGCTCAGAATAACCTTTCTGTAAAAAAATGACCAAGGAAACAAATGGCTTTGGCTCCATCTAGTGGATAAAGGGTTAAACTAATCTTTTGTTCACATGATGGTCTAAAGCTAAGAGCTACACTCACCGGCCACTTTATTAGGTACACCTGTCCAACTGCTCGTTAACACTTAATTTCTAAGCAGCCAATCACATGGCGGCAACTCAGTGCATTTAGGCATGTAGACATGGTCAAGACAATCTCCTGCAGTTCAAACCGAGCATCAGTATGGGGAAGAAAGGTGATTTGAGTGACTTTGAACGTGGCATGATTGTTGGTGCCAGAAGGGCTGGTCTGAGTATTTCAGAAACTGCTGATCTACTGGGATTTTCACGCACAACCATCTCTAGGGTTTACAGAGAATGGTCCGAAAAAGAAAAAACATTCATTGAGCGGCAGTTCTGTGGGCGGAAATGCCTTGTTGATGCCAGAGGTCAGAGGAGAATGGCCAGACTGGTTCGAGCTGATAGAAGGGCAACAGTGACTCAAATAACCACCCGTTACAACCAAGGTGGGCAGAAGAGCATCTCTGAACGCACAGTACGTCGAACTTTAAAGCAGATCGGCTACAGCAGCAGAAGACCACACCGGGTGCCACTCCTTTCAGCTAAGAACAGGAAACTGAGGCTACAATTTGCACAAGCTCATCGAAATTGGACAATAGAGGATTGGAAAAACGCTGCCTGGTCTGATGAGTCTCGATTTCTGCTGCGACATTCGGATGGTAGGGTCAGAATTTGGCGTCTACAACATGAAAGCATGGATCCATCCTGCCTTGTATCAACGGTTCAGGCTGGTGGTGGTGGTGTCATGGTGTGGGGAATATTTTCTTGGCACTCTTTGGGCCCCTTGGTACCAATTGAGCATCGTTGCAATGCCACAGCCTACCTGAGTATTGTTGCTGACCATGTCCACCCCTTTATGACCACAATGTACCCAACTTCTGATGGCTACTTTCAGCAGGATAATGCGCCATGTCATAAAGCTGGAATCATCTCAGACTGGTTTTTTGAACATGACAATGAGTTCACTGTACTCAAATGGTCTCCACAGTCACCAGATCTCAATCCAATAGAGCATTTTTGGGATGTGGTGGAACGGGAGATTCGCATCATGGATGTGCAGCCGACAAATCTGTGGCAACTGTGTGATGCCATCATGTCAATATGGACCAAACTCCCTGAGGAATGCTTCCAGCACCTTGTTGAATCTATGCCACGAAGAATTGAGGCAGTTCTGAAGGCAAAAGGGGGTCCAACCCGTTACTAGCATGGGGTACCTAATAAAGTGGCCGGTGAGTGTAAATAAAGACTTCCATTCACCTCCATGCCATCAGCATCAGAGACGTGGTATCTTTGCCGGATCTTTGTAGTGTATGATACCTGTGGTGCATCTTCGAACGGATTCTGATTTTCATCGTTCCACCTTCTCTCACCAACTGCAAAAAAATAAAACCAAACAAATAAAATTAAGATCAACATTCTGTTTTGTGCTGTGGAGGTCTTCGGCCATCTTCCTTAGAGAAAAACAGTTATACAAATTCATATGTTTTAATTCAGAGTTAGAAAAGGAACAAATCTACAACAATCAAAATCATAGGTGACACCACAGTACTGTATATCTTGTAAGTTTTGACTGACAAGCACCATGTAGTGTTTACATCACTACAGTGTGAAAGAAACCTAAAAGAGGTTTATTCATCAATTGTCTTTTGCTAATTCACGATTGAGTCTAAGGCATTCAGAGAAGCCGCTATATCCTCTCTCCCAGACAAAAGGGAGGCCCATAGGAAGCGTCCTTATCAGATGCCCAACTAAACTCACCCAGCCCTTTTCTGTGAGGAAGAGCAATAGTTTATCTCTTAGCTCCCCTCAGATGACGTTCCTCATCTTATCTCATAGATTGATAATTTGGGTGATGGAACTTCTGTGGCCTCGTGGTGAGGCTTATCCCAGCCCTTTGTATCCAGGATCATGTTCTATGATCAATATCTCACCAACATAGGTGAGAGTCAGAATGTGGATTGACAGGTTCAACAAAAAATTCACATTTTTGCTTTCTCTTTACCGTGACAGAATGGTACAGTAGAAAAAGCTCCAAATTATTCCCTCTAACATGATATTTGCTGTTAGATAGAAATTTAAGTGACCACATGGTATTCATATGCAGATTGGAGGGGAAGTATGAGACGTGTGCTTAATTAGGATGTAGTCCATTTGTATTGCATATCTTGGGTCATAATGAGCTGGCCTCACTAAACCTCCAAAAAGCAGCCTCAATGAATTTTACACACCAAATGTATTTGGTTCGAAATAACTTGCCATTCACCACCACTCGTGTAAATGCCAGAATCTTTCCCTCTTCACATTCAGAAAGAATGCATTTTTTCAGGAGATACTATTCTGTTATTTTTACAGGAAAGACTCTGTTCTATTTATTTATATGCTGTTATGTTTTTGTTTTGGTTCATTATGACCAAGGCAACAGGAGGGTTAAAACAAATCCATTATAGTAAACCCCCTTTACAGCTCACATACAATCAAATGAGTTATTATATGTCTACTATGAATAGAAGAGCACCATTCAGAAAATAGCTGTAAAAACATACAAGGTGAAAGTGGTAGAATTTGCATGTTAACAAGATGGCATGAAAAGCATACTTTGAACTGATAGATGATTTAGATTTAAAAACAGCTCTGTATTAAGATAATTTCGTAATCCTATGTAGATTAAATCAAAGACACAATTTATTGAGCAAAAGAAATACAACATGAATCCATAATTTCTAAGCAGCAGCAGTGATACATGTCAATGCAATAACAGCAGCTTCAATCTTGGCTTCTGTTCAGATAAGAGATGAACTGCAGATGAAGAATTCTTAATTTTGAAGTGTCTTTTAAAAACCATGAAAGACAAATTACCAAGACATTTAGAGATGTTTGGAGATGGCAACACGGTATTTGCAGCAAAGGAATGCTATGATTCAACTTCCGGTTATCTCTACATTCATTTACCATGTCACCAAATGCTCTTAAGGTTTCAATCAGCAGTCAGTAAATAAAGGTGTGCAGATCAGGACCAGTTCATCACAAGATAGTCGATTTAAAAGAAAGTAATATAAATACTGATAATTTATTCTCTAATCTTGTTCCCTATGTATTTTTAATATGATCACATCATTCCATCTTCCCTAAATCTCTGTGACTCTGGCTATTATTAAAGAACAGTGAAGTCAAAGAAATAACAAATATAAAATGCTTACCTTCAAAGAAGCTGTAGGTTTGAGGCAAAGCATACAATCCAGATGCAGACAAATTTGTCAGGTTTGGAGACTCTGCAACACTCTCTAACCCCTTGCTAATGTTCCCCTCCTAGATAGGTATGGAAATATAGTAATAGTAAATATAATTATAAACAAAATAAATTAATTAAAAAATTAAAAAATAAAAGCAGCAAAAAAGCTCAAAGATGATTTCTGATTACTTTGTCTATTTGACGCCAGCTTAGAGTAGCCTCAGATGTTTCTTTGGACTCAAGCAGGCCCCTCTGATCTCCAGAGTCATCTGCAAAGCCTCTTCTCAGACACAGCCTGTTTCCTTGAGGGTTTTCTTCCTCGTTCTCTCTGTCTTGATAAGACAGGCTATAGCTCATCTGAGCCTCTTTTAGCTCTGTTAGTGTCACACCCTGTAAGATATTCAAACAGCTTTGTGTCTATCAGCAGTCAAACACAATCTATTAAGGCCAGATCTTGCAAATAAATGTCGGCAGCTAGTTTATACCTGCGTTGACCTGCGAGTTTGCCTGGCATGACGGGACTTTGCCTTCCTCTGCGATTCAGCTTCTTCGTCCTTGACCGGAGCTAGATAAGACCTGAAAAACAGGTTGGTAGATGTTTATTTAAAAATTACATGAGAAGAAATCTGGCCTCTCTAAAGTTTTTAAAGTAGCACTAGAATGTTTAATGAAAAGCAATGAGTCGGTCAATGAGGTTGAAAACACCCAATCATTTCATATGGGGAAATTACATTTCTTGTATCAGGTCAATATTTCTTTTAAGTTTTGCTTACAAAATACAGTATTCCTTCAAAAAATAGTGTATTGTTGTACTTTATATAATTTATATTATATACACCTTCCACTCAATTTTATGTCTGAATAAAACATAAAAATATCATACAGTATATATTTCTTTCTATTCCATTCCATTTTTCATACTTTCCCATATTTTCACATGGCTTAGTAGCTATCAAAATTCTTATTTTTGCATGAAAACCACAACGGTTATTTCTACATTTAGAGGCTAATTTAAAGTTTTACCTTGATCACCTGTTCTAGGTTTATACAATATCAGATTCTCTTCAGTAATGCAAGCACATTATGAACCATTGCATTCAGGCACAAATAAAAAGCTGAAAAAGCACAAGCTGTGGCTGTGTTTTACCCACTTAGCAGTTAGCTCCCCCACTGTTAGACTTTTACTGCTATTGATCTAATAGTTCTAGCACCACCATGAACAAGAGAAGCTTTCTAAAACTGCTGTCTGGAGCACATTCTGTTTTAAAAAGAAAAAGGATCTGGATATGGATAGAATAACTGTGCACAGGTTCAAGGCTTAATATCAACATGAAAAACCTAAGTATTCAGAATATAGAAATCTTAGATATTGTAATTATAAGAGTTAAAACCAAGTCTCAGATTTTTTCCTAATACAGAAAACTGTTTCTCTTAAGTTTCATATTCAGTAGAAATCAAAGATGCAGCAGTGAGCTTTAAGTCAGCAGTTCTTAACCCCTATACAGAGCTGTAAATAGCAGAGTTACTGCAGGAAGATGATCAATTTGACACAGCAAAGCTTTGCTAGAATGTTTTTTGGCCTCTTAGAAGTCTGACTGTTAGAATATGCATATAATAATTCTGGAATGAAACAGTATCACTCAGGCTTTCTGAAACATACCTGTAAACAAAAGCTTGCATGGCTCCTGTAGAAAGTCAGAGACTAAGGCACAAAGATGGTGTAGCATCGATGAGAGGGAGAGGCTGGAGAAAATGACTCTGCAGCAGACAACAGAAGAGGGAGAGAAAGGGAGAGAGAGGCTTCCTGTCTGGATGATGCATACACAATCAATTAAGAGTTTCTGTCAAAGAACAGCTGATACAAGCAAATCTACTTCAAAGTGCAAGCAGTAGGACGTATCTGTACAAGGAGTCTCCAGGGATTTAGCTAAAAAAAAAAGGACAAAAAAAAGAAGTGAGGCTTATGGCAGAAAGATATTTTATAATTATTTGGAGCATAATATTTTGTTGAGATTATGCTGCTGAATATACTATATATATATATATATATATATATATATATATATATATATATATATATATATATATATATATATATATATATATATATATATAGTGGGGGGGGGGTCCCCAGTGCTCCAGTGATCACAGATACTACAGTTTCCTTCCAGGCTCTCTGTACAGTAGTTCTTCCCTGAGACCTTGGTATTTTTTGCAATTTCTTTACTTTTTTTCCTGATGTTTCCATCATTTGGGAAGACCACATCAATCGCTACAGCTGTACTTTGTTGCTTATCAGTGGTCACAATTCTCCACCACCTTGGCAGGTTGCTCTCTTTTTAACCTGGGGGTCTACAGGTTGTATGCACAGATGTTTCTGTACACTATACCAGCCACTTTGTTAAGACGTTCCATGTATTCCTATAGTGCCAGTATCTTACACCCTGCAGTGAGATGCTGAGTTGTTTCTGGGACCTCTTTGCAAAGCCTGCACCTGTGATCTTGCCTGCTATGGTAGATCTGGACCTATACTGCTATTGTGCTGAAAGCCTGCTCCTGTGCTGCCATGATCAGTGCTTCTGTGCTGTCCTTCAGCCTGGCTTCCTTCTTTGCGCTTAGTGTATAGTCTGGATTTAGGGTGGAAACTACTATGCTTGGTGAGTACAGTAGCTTCCATGTTTTGTCTATTACAGCTTCCCTATAAACCTGAGGGCATTTTATTCACCTAATCTGTTCTAATCTAAAATATTAGATTCCCTTAATCTAATCTTTTATAATATTTTGTCTTTTAATCATGCCACTGCATTTTTAATTCAATTTAAATGCATACCAATATAGAACCTTTAAATTTAGTTTATTATTTCATGAATAATAATTTTATCTTGCTTCCCATGGTTTGAGTTTACCTTTTCTTTTAGCTATTTGAAATGTAATATTGTCTCAAACTCTCAGGCTTGTTCTTTGTTCTGTTTATCACAGAAAAGCGCAATCAATCTTTAGCTGCATATATGAGGCCATATTGTTTCTCAGATTAAACATACCTTTTAAACATAGCTTTTGAGCAGAAATTAAACATACTTATTTGGACCATAAAAGGGTGATACTAAAATTAAAAGATAGGATTCAGGATTACATTAACATAGTGACCAAACTGCAAACTTAAAACTACATGATAATCTAATGACAGAACAGCACGACGTGGAGCATATAAAAGGAGTCGAAAAAGGGTTTATTTTAACAAGTGTTACCAAGAGACAACAACAGTAACCATATAAAGGAAAAAAAACAGCAAATTAAGACAGATAAAAAAAAAATCAATAGTAACAAACATAGTAACATGTTTTGCCCTTCTCACATTGGATGCAGCAGACAGTATCTGTCATGTGAGGATCACAGTATCAGTTGGCTTTTCCTGATGAGTAGTAAAGGTGTTTTTTTATGAGGCTATAATTCCTATATATTCAGCAGATCTGAGACACTTCTGAATCATTCAAAGTATCAGTTCTTGCTTTATATACCATTACCAAGGACATAGCTTTAGTCAATGTCTAAGCTGCTCTACCTGACATTGTAAAACACCATGCAGCAGTGGATAGTTTACTCAAAACATTTGTTGCTGCTGTCATTTAACAGGCTTCACCTCTTTTAGCACTTCCCTTGTACAAGCTCATTTCCTAAATAAATAAATAAATCGTACCCTTTTGTAAACCTTGGGTTCCTATATTGTTCAGGTGTGCTTGATATTTAGCATCAAAACGTATCTACAGTTCAGCTGTTACAGGATCACCTCAGAAAAGAATGATTTGTCCCTGGATTGCTTGTTGTACAGTAGCAGCCATCCAAAATGGCACTTTCCAGTCAAACACCAGCCGAATGACAGCTCACTTCCCTCCAACTTCCAGCCACTGGAGTGACACCTTCCTGCAGATTTTTTTACTCTGATTCCACCCTTTCACTGAATTACAGGTTCTGACCAGGAGATGAAGCTTCTCTTTAGATCTTATTGTCAACAAATCATGATAGAAAGAATATTTTTGTACAAATATTGACATTTATCAAGGAACTGTACGGGACCAGGCAAGGGCCCATCAAGTAAATGTTGAATGGCTACTACTGTAACTCCAGGCTGCATAAAATAGGCCTCACTGAGAATAAACTCTGCCATTATTAAATAAACTTTATTATACAAAGAACACTGAGGACATAGCTCAACCCTTTTATGACCTCCTTGAGGTTTTAAACTTAGAGCTAAGCATCTTTGTAATTAAAAAACTTATACTTTAGTGTTCTGATCTACTATTTGATTAGGTGGTTTCATTGAACTTGTATATTTCAAGCATTTATTTTAGTTAAGCTTTAGGATTAAGACATCAAATACAATTCCTGAAAACAATGCATATAACAGAAAAAAAAAGTGTTTAAGACATAAATGTTAAGGTCATGTTGCAATCGTGGTAAAGAAGACTGCTGACTTGACATTTGTCAGGCAATTATATCCTTCACAAGGTGAATACATTGATGATACTGATGTCTGTAGGCCAGAAGGATAGAAAAATGTGGAAAATAAATGCTTGAAATAAAACTGTGAGTAATAAATCCACATCACAGTTGACTTTAACTTTATTAGGTCGAAGTTGAATTTGATAATTTTTTTCACACCAAATGGCTTAAAGTAACAGCTTCCTATGTTATTTGGTTAAATGTTGCGGAAAGACATGATGGCAGAATTCATGAGTTTTTTGAATGTTTATGTTTCTATGTATATATATATATATATATATATATATATATATATATATATATATATATATATATATATATATATAAAAATATAAAAGGGTATTTTATGCATTAAGGCTTTCGATGTTTTAAATGAGATATAAACATGAGAAAACAAACTTCTGCCCTCTAAGTTTTAGGTTCACTTTAAAAATAAAGCCCAAAAAGTTAATTTTTGGTCTTTCCATCAAATATCATCCATCATCAAACAAACAGGCGAAGAAAAGACAACAAAATGTGTTTTTCATGGTGTTGTCAGTCTGCAAAATTCCTGTTCTCCTTGGTGGACTTCTTCAGCATATTACAAAATAAAAATCATTCTCCATACCCTGCAGAAGAGACCAGAATATATAAGAAACATGTCAATCCATATAAAAAAGGGGCATTTTCTTTCTTTTTTTTTTCATTTTGGGACATTACAACAAAATGTTGGTTTATTAGGATATTACATGGCAGACCAAAACAAAAATGATACAGAATTTTCTATATTTTCTGCATTTATACACCATATTCTCTAACATCTCTAGAGATTAAAGCTGATAAGTAAAAGATGTCTGGGGTTTGTTAGAGAGCAGAGAGAAACAGTATCAAGAAGCCCTTTGGATGAAATAATAACCATCTAACCATTCTTAGAGTTATCCAACCTTTAGAGGGGTCACAGCAACCATGTGGAAGAAAATGCTCTGTTAATTCGAGATAAGAAAAAAACAACAACTAATGGCTCACATTTAAAATGTTTTTTTGAAAACTAACACTACCCATCTCCTGGAGAAAACAGGGAAAGACTTGCTTTTCCCAAAGTCTTAATGTTTTTTAAGACTTGTAAATATTGATTCCAAACTCTAATTTTTTACAGTAGATAAAACCAAAGTGTTGCCAATATTCAAAAAATGATGGTAGCCTATCATTGTCTTTATTATTTCAGAAGGCTTGTCTATTTCACTTTACACTCAGTTCTCTATTGGTCTGTCAGATACAATCCTAAATTTGACATCAAACATGACAAAATGTTGAAAAGCTTAAGCTATGCCACATAATTTTTCAAGTAATACAAATGAATTTTTGTAACATTCAAAAAAACATTTTCTTACTTGCTTCATTTATTTTCTACAACAGCAAATTCTTCTAATAACTCATCTTGCTCCCTCTCCTGTTGCTCTTCTTCAGTGTTCAGTTCCTGTTCTTCATCCATCATAACTTCATCAAACATTGGTGACCCTTCATTCTCCTCTATGGAATTTGAATCATCCCCCATGTTCTCTTTATGATCTTTTCTGCTTTCTGGCACAGGAAATTATTTTTCTTGGTCTGTTTCATTTAGTTCCTCTTCAGTAGGACTTTCTTCCATCTCCCTTTCCTCCTGATTCACTAGAGATGCCTCTTGCTTATTTCCTTTTGCATAATCTTTCTGCTGAATAGATGCTGGTGGGTTTTCCTTTGAAGAGAGTTCCCATTCCTCTTCAGTTGCTGTAAGTACCTCTTCTTCAGTTTTCTCTTCATTTACCTCTTCAGGTCCTGCACCAAGTACCTCTTCCTCTTCTGCAGCCACAGCAGCTGCATGGTCTTCAGCTTCAGTCACATCAACCTCCTCTTGCTCCTCATGTTTTGCAGCCTCCTCCTCTTGCTCCTTGTGTTCTGCATCCTCTTCTTCTTGCTCCTCATGTTCTGCATCCTGTTCTTCTTGCTCTCCAGGTTCTGTAGCCTCCTTTTCTTGCTTTCTGGGTTCCTCAGCCTCTTCTTCTTGCTCTACGGGTTCTGCAGCATCCTCTTCTTGCTCTACTGGCTCCTCAGCCTCTTCTTCGTTCTCTCCAGGCTCTGTAGTTTCCTCCCCTTGCTCCTCACTCATGACAGCCTTGCCTACTTGCTCGTCTCCAACTACAACAATTTCTTCTTCCTCATTACCGACTCCAGCCACCTCTTCTTCTTCACCTTCATCATCATCAGCTGCAGACAACCCTTTTTCTTCATAATCATTTGCCTCATCATCAGCCACCTCTTTTTCCTTACCAGCATCTGCCTCCATCTTTTCAAGTTTCTCAGCAGGAGGCTTTATTTTTTCTACCACCTAAGAAAAGGAATAACAGTTCACATCAGAGTCTGCACAGCATATATGCTTGTGTTTGCATCCTACCATCAAGCAGTGTCTGTCAATAAAACATGAATGTAGTGGCTCAGGTAGGGGGTATGTATATTTTCTGTATAGTTTGAATGTGAAGAATTGCAATTACTTTGCTAAAACTAATGACATGAAATACTCATTAACATCTCCCTAAAGGCAGAGTGTACAGAAATAGTAAGGAGACCATGGAAGATCTCTCAGTGTGAGTCAAGCTTGTTCTGGCATGACACACATAGTTAATCTGCTAAAATCATATGAATAGTTTGGTCTGTCAAATTAAATGCACCATATAAACAGCGAGATATCCATTTGAGATATACATATATAGTACAAAATGAGTTTCCCAAGTGTGACATAATTGTCTTCATTTTATATTTTTGCATTCAGCCCTCTAGTCACCTGCAGAACCATCTTTTGCTGCACTCAATTTTCTGATTTAATCAACAACATACATTAATATACATGGATGTAAATAAAATCTCACACTAAAAACAATTAGAAAAAGAAAACAACTTTCCACAGTTTTTGCATTTTTTTTCCCTAAACCTTGTGCAACCTTTTTACCTAAGCTGACCACCCAGGTATGCTGGGTCCCTACATAGCTTGCTGCAAATTGCAGCAGGATTATAGTTGTAGCTCAAAGTTTTTTTTTTCTTTATAAATCGACTAATAGTTGCAAATTCTCCCATGTGAGCTACACATCTGCAGCTTTTTCACAATTGTAAGTAACTTTTCATTTGTTTCTCTAGTGCTCACCTTGCCCAGCCTGTCAGTCTGTTGGGTAATTCTGGATCGGTTTGCAGGTGAACCATATATTTTTCCTTTTCAAAAGATGAACTGAACATTCTTTAAGAAATTTTCAAAGGTTAGAATATTGTTTTATAATCTAAGAATTATTTTTAACTCATTATATATTTCATTAAACTGTCTACTAAGTATCTTTGTCTATGATGGTGTTTGATGATCAATGTTTTCTTACACACTTCTGAGGAATTTACTGATAAAGGACACTTTTATTAACATTAAATGACATTTATATGAGCTCTGAAGGAGGATGTATTTTGAAGCCCTGCATCCCTTTGGTTATTATGCACCTCTTTGTTTTAGTTTAGCAAAGATGGAATTATGTGATTGTTATGTGACAAATAGGTGAGACATTTCAATGCATATGAAAACTTTAACAGGCCAGTGTATCAATGTAAATGACTAACATTGATACAGGCGGGCAGGACCACAGGGGCACACTGGTTCAGGAAAGAATCTTGAGAATAATAATGATAATAATTAATCATTAACTTCATTGATCTGACATCTGATAAATTTACCTCTGCATTTTACCCATCTCCCTTTGGGGAGCAGTGGGTTGCCATTGTGTGGTGACTGGAGAGCAATGTGGGGTTAAGGTCTTGCTCAGGAACCCAGAATGGCAGTCTGTGGGAGTGGGCCTTGAACTAAAAACCTCTGGATTCCAAGTGCAATGCCCTACCCACTAGGCCACCACAGAAAGGATAGCAGAATATCCACAGATGATTTTATATTCACACTGTAACATACTCTGCTTACCTGTTCCATTGTACTGGCCTTCAGGAACAGCTGGTGTCCTTTACTTTCAAGCAACTCCCTGAAAGATCCAAGACACAAATTACTAGATTTTTAACATCATTGGTTTGCTGAGTTTTTATAGTTATTCTAAGAAGACCTGTTCACTAGCTTTAATTACATATAGGGAAATATAAGAGTGTTGCTAGTGAAAGACATTTTTGTTTCTGCAAAATGTCCAAAGCATTATGTTATGTTTACAAAACTACTCATTTAAAGTATGGGATAAGGTTAAGCTAGCAAATTAACTTCATAGCTTTTCAAACACCACGGAAGTGCTTGTACAGATCCGGGCAGCCTAAAAAAAAAAATAAGCCTATCAACACTAGACTAGAGAAACAAAGCAAACCAGACAGTTTGATAACAAAGAAGTCTATGACTAAGTCAACAAATAGACCTGAGTGAGAGGAAGCAAGTGCATTTATTAGGTGCAATAAAAGTTAAACTTCTTTTCGAAAACAATTACCGCAGATCAGTCGTTCCCAGTAAACCGTTCTCCAGCTTAGCTTCAAAGGTTTCCAGTTGATTCTTGAGTTTCAACAACTCACTGGTCTGTCCATCCAATGTAGCACTCATTTTGGAAATCTGAACAATCCTTTTTTCCATCTTTGATTTAACTTTTGCGAGGTTCAAAGAAAAATCCTCAACCTTCTGAGAGAGTTCCACACTAAGAGAAGCCAAACCCTCCACCTGCATCTTGACATCTTCAAACTCCACACTCTTTCCCATCAACATGCTCTGCAAATGGCTCAGTTGCTCCAAAGACACAGTGGCTTGCTGCACCTCTGCCAGTCTTGTTTTCATCTCAGTGTGCAGCGACAGCACCTGAGCAGGGAGGTCGGATGTCTTAAGTTGCTCGGCCGTAGCCAAAGCCATTCCCACCTGTTTCTGAGCCAGGGCAAAAGACTCCTCTAGTGAAGCCAGTCGTGTTTCCAGGTTCTCTGGGGCATACTGCTGCAATTAAAGAAACAGGAGTTGGTAAATCTGGGTGTCAATACTTTTTTAAATCAAAATTGTGATTGCAAAGTCCACTAAACCACTAAAGGAAAGAGAATGTTGATAAAATAAGTGAAAGAAGGTTTAAGACAGATGCAACCATCAGACGTCTTGCATGTGATTTCGTATCACAAATTTTTTAACTATGTTAGATTTATCTTAAAAAATTACATATTATGCTATTAAAATATTTTTTTATAAAGTTTGATGGGCCCAACATTTTTTTACTATGCCCATGTTAATGCCAAAAGATTCTGCAATAGAAATAGTGTGTTGAAGTCAAGTGAGACGGAGCTCAGATCCTATTACTGTAGCTCTGTGATAGAGCTGAGACATTGCTTCCTCCCTGTTTTAGATTTCTCAGGTTAAAGCCAGAAGATAAACAACAACACAGCAAAAGGAAGATGGACATAGGTCAACCTTTTGAGCAATTGTGCCACTTTAAGGAGATGGAAGAAAACCCTACTGAAGAGAAAATAAATTGAAAAGACTGGGAAAAATCAGTTTCGGGCTCAGAAAGCAGAAAATATAAAGAGAACATGGTGGATGATTCAAAAGCCATAGAGGAGCATGAAAGGTCACCAATGGTTGATTAAGATATGATGGATGAAGAGCAGGAACTGACCACTGAAGAGGAGCAACAGGAGACGGGTTTGTTTTTCTCCAAAATAAATAAAGTAAGATAACAGGTTTTTGTGTTACAAAATTTTCTTCTGAAAAGGCAATTGCAATTTTTGTTTATAGCAGAACTAGCAGCAAGCTGGAAAACAGTATGGAATTAAAGTGGGCAGGTGAGACACTTTCTGGCCAGAAAGGGTTAAAATTGTAGTTACTGTAACACTTTTAAAATCATTTTTTTTCTATAAAGTGCAACTTCAGTGGTTTAGTCTGAATTTGTCATCATCATAGCTCCTCATCACTTTCTTATGCATCTCTTTGAATGTCTAATTTTGTGCAGTTTTTAACATACAAACCTGTATTTACAATATTAAAAAACAAAGAAAGAATGATGCGAGTTGACATTTTCAACTACCTTTAGTACCCTATTTTGACCTTAAGCATCCTCTCTATGACCTTAGCATAGCAAATTTAGACAGTCCTCCAAGTAGAGCTAGTAAAATCCCACTTCAACACTGAAATATCCAATGTATTTTCCACTATGTCCTGATCCACCATGTTCTATGAAAAGATTTAAACATGGTGAGTTTAATGCAGAATCTACAAGTTAAAAACGGACAATTTTTTTTTAAAAACAGCTGGTTCATATGGACCAGTTAAAAAATTGTTACCAAGAAATTTAGAGCCATTTAAAAATCAGTTCAGAAACCTGTGTGGTTTCTAAAATATCCCTATTTTCCCTATAGTGGCAACACATGTTGCTGAGCATACATAAAAGACTTACTACAGAGACTATGCCTCATATACTCTTCACCTAGCCGCCTTTACTGAAATACTTCAAGCAAGAGGAAATAGATTAAGGCTGCCATGACAAACAGAATAGTTGACTCATGCCAACAGATTTTTATAGATGTATATACCCTGACATCCTGTTTCACTGCATTAATTCAAAGTATTGTATTCCCCAGCATTATATAAACTGTTATCCAGTCAGTCTGCACACAACTTTTCCAATAGAGCTTATTATCAAAACTCTCTGCCTAAATACAGTGTTGGCAAATTACTTTATTATCATTATCAAGTTTGCACAGCACCACCTTTGCTCCAGTTCTGGATTTTGAGTTATTTTTAATACTATACCACCAATATTTCTATGGAAAATCTCAATAGTATAAGGATCTGAAAAACAGTCTACTGCAAGTTAAGTGCAATGTTCTTATTGGCCTGGGAAAAAATAAATTTGTTGCTGTGTTGATTTTGGAATGGCAATACTTAAAAACCTGATAAAGTCCTGCATATTGTAGGTTTCTTCATTTGCAGCTAGTGGCTTGTATATGGCTCAGGGCCTTTTTTTCTATTTTCAGAAACATTTATTTTAAACTGCAGAGCATTTACTAAATAGGTCATCATTAGGTGCATGTCTGATCTGGTTGGCTGACAGACTGAAGACATTTTTACCTTTGTATATGACAGCCTGAGCTCCTCATGAGAAGACTGCAGTTTGGCTATTTTCACCTGAATGCCCATGACATTGTCAGTTAGGTCGGTTAAAGTTAGGTGCTGTTGGAAAAAGAACCATGCACCGGTGAAGCAGCCGACCACAAAGACTAAAACCAACACCAGCAGGGGAGTGTGGTTGCTTCCACTTGGGCGAACTTCTGTTTCCAATATCTCACTTTTAAAAAAATTATCCTCCTGTTTGTGGTTGCTTTTCCCTTTTCGGTGTTTGGCTGTCATTCTTCCCTGTTTTAGTTGAAGACACGGTGTCCAAATCAGGCACAGAGGTGATCCAAAAAGGCTGCGCGTCAAAACGCCCGAACCGAGCCGCGGTGAGAGCGCAGATTTACTGACGCTATGAAAAGGACCTGATTAACCGCAGCGCAGAGAGGTTGGGTGAAGGGAGGCGCGACTAAAGGGTGTAATTCAGTCAGTTGTGTATGAGGAGGGGGCGTGAGGCGTTGGGAGTGGCTGCTGTGACAGGCCACATGTGCTGCGCTATTTATGAGCACAGCTGAGGTTAGGGCGCAACGACCTGTGGAAGAAGGGATTTATTCTGTAGAGTATGCTAAACACTGCACCACTAAACAATGAACAGTCAGATATCTATTAGGTTTGACCTTCACACAGTGTAGTAACTTGAAGTGCTCAAGTTTTCAAAATTTGTACTCATGTGAAACATTTTCTCTCAACTCGAAGTAAAAAGTACGATGGAGTAAAAGTACTCAAAGTACTTAAGATACAATAAAGTGTGTAATTGAAAATAGTTACTACCAGAAGTGTCAAGTAACAAAGTAAAAATACTCTGTTACTGTACTTAAGTACACTTTTTAGGTATCTATACTTTACACCATTACTTATTTTTCTTCCTACTTCTGACTTCTACACATTATTTTTTCACACAAGTATCTGTACTTTCTATTCCTTACATTTTAAAACAAATGTTACTCTTGGCTTCGGTTTAATGTTTATGAATATTTATTTCACATCATGTGCGCCATCCAATGCAGATCATTGGTGCCATCCACATCTAGTAAAAACTAGTGTAATTGGATGAGTCATGTAATGCAAACACTCATTGGTTAGCTAAAGGAAATCATCAGAAGCAAGCAGGTGTTCTTCAAATTGCAAACATGAATTATCTATGCCATGCTACAATTTCGGATTCGGAAAAAGATGTTGAACTGTCTTAAAGGTCGGAGACAAGCGAGAGCATATCGAGAGATGGAGACCAACAAGACCTCCCTCATCCTTGGCCCTATCTCAAAGAATTTTTCAAAATAATCAAAGAATTGAGCTTTCAATTCATATAATGGCATCTGGCTGTTTATTTTTTATAAAGGTTACTTTATACTTTTATACTTTTAGTAGTTTTTGGAGCGCATACTTTTTCACTTTTACTTCAGTAAAGAGGTCAAGTTGATACGATCAACTTTTACCAGAGTGTTTTTAAACTGCAGTATTTATACTTCTACCTAAGTAACAAATGTGTGTACTTTTGACACCACTGGTCACTACCCACCCCTCATCTGCTATTTATTTCGGGGTTTTTTTCAAGGAAACACTTAAAAGTTCAATAAAGGGATCTGCCAAGTCCCATGGAAATTCTATAAATACATGATAAACATTATTAAAGTACCTGGTTTACAAAGTTCCTCACAGAAAATTAAAATGGTTGGTAGGCACATCTAAGTAGCTGGAAATCTCTACATCTGTAACAGTATGGGTGTTTTAGTTTAAGTGCCTTAATCTTTTTACATCCACTTATTAATACTGCCACTGTCTACATTCACATACAGCTGCACAGAAGCCCATGGCAGATGTTGGTGTCATGTGTTGACTTCATTCTTCCAAAAGATCTTGTAGTATTTTAAGTAAACATTCTTAAGACTTTTGTGATTCTTTCAAAGCTTCCCTTTGTAATTTTTTATGTTTTCTAGTGTCACTTTGCCTTTTTTGGAGACCACTTAGCTCTTTGTGTCCAAAGAAAGTATTTTAACAATAACCAACCATTATTGTTATTTTAATCAATAACAACTATACAACATAGTATATTTTGTTGGTACAGACTGTTCTAAGGACCCAGGGACCAGTACCAGTGACAAGCATGTTACCCTGTAAAGAGATTAAGCTCCCAGCTTTTATAAAAAAAAAAAATGTGTAGGTGGATGCTAAAAATGTGGAGGAAAGAAGGAAAACAGCACATCTGAGAATAATGTGGAAAGAGTGATGGGAAACATGCCATAAATATAAGATCTTGACAATTACAATGACAATATCTCTCATATACTGTCTCGTGAAGGTGAGGATGTTACCATTTTAGATCAAATTGTTACAGGATGTTGTTCATTTACCAACTTGTGTCCAACTACTGTGTATGTATGGGACAACTGCACCCAAAAACATACAAATGATTGAGTAGTTGTGCCAAAAGATCAATTAAATCCAATTTTATTTGAATTTGGTTGTCTTCAGTTATGAACTGTGGTACTCATATATGGCAGGGGTAACCAATCAAAAATCAGCGGGGTCCGAATAAAGAAAATCAACAACTAGTAAAGGTCCGGAGACATTTTTAGTACTTTAAACAGAGTTTAAACATAATTTTACACTAACGCTTTAGTCAGTGAGCCCCAGGGCAGCGGTGGCTACAATTTAGCTTGCCACCATCAGTGTGTGAGTGTGAGTGTGAATGACTGAATGCAGTGTAAAGCGCTTTGGTCAAGTCTCTTGGCTTGAAAAAGCACGATATAAGTACAGGCCATTTACCATTTTTAAAAATTTGTTTTGAATGCATCTATTTTATACGTTAAATTTTTAAATAATAAATATAAGAAAAAATAGAAATTTTTTCCATTTTTAAATCTAAAGCTTTTTTTCCAAGTAGAGAACAACAGTTCAGTTTGGTATATAGATAATTTCCTGATTTAAATTTTTTACAGAACACCGGAACGGACCGTTTCTTTGTTTTTGTTTTTTGTGGCTTAATGAGAGAAGTGGGCTTTACCATATTAACAGGAGAAGCGGTGCAAGTGAAGTTAGACAGTGTCGTCAGACATCATGCTGTAATTTATAAATGTTTTAGATCAGGCAAATGGCATATGCTAACTCCTGGATCTATGTTCTTGGTAAGCTTCACCAAAAACTGGACCCTAGCTCAGTCTATCTCTGTAAATCTTCTCATTTTTACTCGCATTTTTAATGCTGATCTAACAATCATGTCATATCAATGAACGGTGGAACCCGTTGCAGATCAAAAGGTAAACGATGCCAACTACCAACCAACATGGTGCCTGCATCTGTAGAGGTCAATTGTCTGAAAAAGGCAGATAGAGTGCTTATCCAAATTATCAGACCCTGTCCAGTTTTCTAAAAACTCCCTAATTCAGCTTTAATATCCATCAAGCTATCCACCCATGCATCTGTCCGTCCATTCATCCGTCTGTCTGTTATTCCGTCCATCCATCCACGCTGTCTCTCTCCAGCAGTCTTTGGGCTAACGGCAGGGTATAACCTTAATAAGTCACCAGTCCATCAAAGGGCTGGTAAATCATCATAATTAATGCCTTCAAAGCAACAGTCTGTATGTACCAGTATTTTTATTCAGTTTACTGAGAATAGTACTGAAATAAATTGACTTATAATTTTATATTATTTCAATTTATTGAATATGATGGTGCATCAGATGCAGCAGTACAGTAATATATTATTTTATGAGGTTTTCCTTTATCAGATAATTTGATATTTAATTTATACCTCTAGGAAAACTTATCATACTTAACATAGACTGTTTGTAATGCTCTTCCAACATTAAATTATATATCAATGTTAAACTGATACAAAGCTCTTAAGGATGCACAAAGGTCAATGGAGACACATATCATCAAATTCTTCTTTAAAATAGATTCATTGAGATAAAATTATGAAAGACAATGAACTGAATCTATTTCTGTTTGAAAATCTTTATTTAAGAATAAGCTAATATTTTAATATTGAAAATGCTTGTTGATCTTCCTGTTTTTGACAGATGGTCTTTGAAAAGTGGTGTCTTCAGCTTCCTCACTCTGCTGAAAAAAACACAAAAGTATTTAGAAAAATATTCTCATGTAAGTTTAACTTTGAATGTACAGTAGGTATAAAACATCTACAGAGCCCTGTAAAAATGATACAATGCAGTAATATCAAAGGGAGGGGGATATCCAAAGGAAAAAGAAACACAAATTGTAGGAAAATAAAACCTTAAATAATGTAGCTGCAAAAAATGTGAACTTTTTTTTAAAACTGGGGATGTGGTAGTTCATATTTAACCACTACACTTAAAGCTGGATCTGTAAAGACGCGTCTTCATTTAAAGTTTTGGAATAAACTTAAGCTGTTCTAGTTGTTTATTCCCAAGAGGTCTCAGTCATATCTCAGGAGAAAAGCCATGGTCTGCAGTTTTCAATACATTTAGAATATCTTATTGTCAAAGGTATTGGTGAGGATAAGTTTTCAAAACATTTACCAAGGCATTAGTTAGGAATACACTAAATGTATTCTTTATCAATCAGGAAAACATATGGACCAACAGTAATATCCACAAGAACTGTATGTCCATCTAAAATTAATGAAAGCATAAAAACAGAATTGGTAATAGAGGTTGCTAAAAAGCCTATGGTGAAATTTATTTAGCAGCAGAAATTCTTGGTAAGTCTTGTTATATTATTCATGTCTGAGCTATAGGGTACAGTTATAAGAGGCCTTTTCTGAAAAGAAAACATAACATTTTGAAAAACTCATTCTACAAAAACCACATGAAAAAAGGTGTATTGTCTTACAATAAAACAGTTATACCTTGTGGCCACTATCCCAAAGGGACTGCTTGGCTTAAAACTGCTCATCCCTAAAATAAGACCATGCACTGTGATGTATAGTGGGGGAGCAGTCTGCGTCCTGAGACCGTCAAAACTATGGCCTCGTGAAATTAAAAGGAATTACAAAACAGCTAAGGTGGCAGAAAACATTCAGGTTTCATCTAATCTGTAGTGTCATACCAAACCAAAGTACAGATATAGATAGAAAAAAAAAAAAGAATAGTTTTTTTTCTTAGGGATATAGTTTAAAAATTGACTAGCCAGTCAATTTTTAAACAGACCTAACTCCAGTAAGAATCTTCATGTGGGATAGTGCTGGAGGAAGAACATAGCCTCCAACTTCAGAGCATTTTTGAAAACAAATGGAGTACTGCATTAAAATCAATAAAGCATTAATGAAAAGGTTTGCATATTAATGTATCATTTTTCTAACAACTCCACCACCTTTGCAAAAAATAGTTCATTTTGTTCTCAACTTAGTTTTGCAGGTAACAGGTCAGATCAAAACAGGAGGAAGATCTTAACAAAGCTTCACAAGCACTTGCCATTTTAACAGGGCTATTTGCACTTTT